CATCTCCTCCATTCTCTCAGCAGGCTTTCTTGGCTTGGAGGAAGAGGAGGAGGCATGTTTCCTTCCTAACCAGCATCTGGGGATGAGCAGAGGTGGGAGTGCAGCAGCTCCAAGGGCAGCCAAAGGAGCTCAGAGAGGAGCTGGTTGGGCTCAAGGATCACAGAGGTCTCTTCCAGCCTCAGTGATTCCATCGGCTGTGCTCTGTTGTTTGGAGGTGCAGGTTTGGAGGTGCCAGCCCTGTGGAGCCACGTGTGTAACTCACAGTGAGTTGCAGTGCTGGCTGTGGTGAGCAGTGGAGTGATGTAGGATAGGTTGCCTGTCATTGCCCAAACCCTCTGTGCCTCAGTTTGGATAGAAAACCTCACTTGTATACCTGCATTATGACCTGTGTGGGTCCTTTCTTTTCAGGTATCCCTAAAATTGTGTCATGTCTGGTCATGTATGGTCACAGTTGGTTTTATAGCTTGAAAGCGAAAGCTCAGGACTTCTCTAAGTGGGTTCCAGTGGTAGGTTTTAACCAGGGACTTCTTACCTGTTTCCTTCCAAGCAAACAGGGACGTACAGTAATGAGGAGGGAGCATCCTGATGGATGTCCGTCTGCTGGCCTTCAGCACTTCTCTTTGGCATCTCACTGCTAAATGGGATGTCTTAAACATTGCAGTTGGGCTCAATGATCCTGATGGGCTCCTTCCAACTCGGGCTATTCAATGATTCTACTAAATTCAGCACTTTCCCTGAGCCCTTGCTCCTCCCCCATTCCTGCTGATAAGGAGCAATGTTAGCAGCAGCATCCTGGTCCCACTCCAGCTGTGGCTGTTGTTGGCTTTTTATGCTCCCTCCGTAATTCCAACAGTTTTTCATGCCCGGTTTGTTGAATTGTGTTACTAAACTCTGGTAAACAGATTTCTCTGAGAAGTGGCTGCAGTTCAATGGTGGATGAAATAATCTCTTTATATAAATTTGCTTTCAGACCTCTGGGAAAACCAGCGTAATATAATTGTAAGAATATATTTAATATTAAGGTTGTTGTGAATTGTCTTTTTTTATTATTATTATTTTGAAATCGTTTCTCTTCCTTTTTTCCATCCTTTGTTTTGTGACAGTGGTTGGAGTTGGCCATTTGCAAAATCCTCATGGTGGGGCTGAGTTGTTCAGAAATTTGGGAACAAATCAGAGGGGTTGGTCTGACTGGGTGTGATGCTTCCACCTCTTCCAGAAGCTTAACCAACTTCAATTTTGCAAAAAAGTATATTTTATAGAGGTATATATAACATTTTAAAGCTATAGATCCAGAGGAAGGGTAAAATCCATGGTGGTGAAGACCAAAAGGAAGTGCAGTGCTCTTGCAAAGTCCTCTTCCAGTCCTACCAGTGCAGAGATGGAACGAGTGTGCTTTGGTCATTTGTTAATAGGGAACAATGTCTGTGGTTGCTGCTGTTCAGTAAAATGTAGCCTTCCTTCCCAAAGGTCAACAGTAAGCTGCACGTACTTCTAAAATCAGCAGTTCCCTGGATTGGAAAAATAAATGTTCGACAGTGCAGCCTCCTTTAAAAACAGTACTGCATGAGTTGTTGGTTTGTGTATTCTTCAATTAATTTTAATTTTTTTAAGCAAAAAAAAAAATTCACTGGCTTGAAAAGCAGTGTATATATTAAGAGAAAATTTGCTAACTGCTATAGGAAGATCTAACCCTGGGTCACCTGCAAATCTCTCAAACAAGAGCTGCAGGGCAAGTCCTAATTCCAGAGAGGAAAAGCGAAAATTAAAGCTGTAGCTGGTGACTCCTCCAAGGTACCCGGGGTGCATTCATTTGAGTTCTGTTGATTGTGCTTCTGAATGTCATGGGAGAGGGATGGGAGAGGTCTTCTCAGCCACTTCCCGTCCAAAGCATCTCCATGGAGACAGAGATGGAACCTGATGGTTTGTCAAAAGTTGCTTTTTGTAACCGCAGGCATTCATTAAATAGTAGATGAAGCAGGAGGCAAACTTTTGCATTTTTAACCAACCTACAAAAGGGCCATTTGGAGAATGTTGAGTTCAGTACTGCTGCTATTTTGTGTCCTGAGAAATAGACCATGAATGTGATGGATTTATGTATCGTTGAGTACTGAAAGAACCACAGCAAATAACAGGCGGCGTCAGAAATATCGAAGGGACGGTTTGCTTCTGCAAACACACGCAATTCCAGTTTCACTTGAGAGGCTTCAAACGCCTTCTGACCAACATCCCATCCATGGCCATGGGGTTCCCAGCTGTACCTGGGCCGTGGCTGAGGGGACTCGTGGATGGTGAGAGGATGGGTGTGATTTCTCCAGGATGGAAATAACGCTCCTGGGAGCGCCTCGACGCGCTCCTCGATAGCTATAAAACATGCCTTGTGCCTTTGGGGTCAGCCTTTAGTTTTGCATCGTGTCCATTTGAAATTCTTCATGGCAGGCATAAAGCCATCGCAGCTGCAATCTCGTGCCTGATTTCAGATTTTTTCCTGATCTCTGATTTTTCTGTACACAGAGTACACAGGCACCAAGTGCTCGGCTCTGCTGCCTCCAACCCTTCTCATCCCCCATAGTGCACCAACCCGGGCTGCTGGGGAGGGGAGAGCAGAGCCGGGCAAGCAGGGAGATAAACCATTTTATGTTGAGTACTTTTAACACTGTTCTTAATGTGCTATAAAACTGGATGCTGCGCTTTCTCATGAACTGTGCACAAGAGCAGAAGCGCCGGCTGTAAAGTTGTCGTCGGTTGGGTTTGTTTTATCGTTGCAGGGGCTGCCCAATAATGTGGTCTCGGGAAAGGTAAACAACGTAGTTTGAGCAGTGAAAAATATGCCTAATATAAATACAGGGGAGTTCATTGCTGCTCAGAACTTGAAAAATACTGTCGTAGGGTTGTGTTTTCCAGTGGAGCTAGCAGAGCAGCGCAGTGCAGCCCTACCAGCAATATATCTGAGGCAGAGCAAATAGGTAACGCATCTGACGTGGGAGTCTCTGTGGCTTTCTCAGAGAGAAAAGTGCTGTAGCTTTATTTAATTGAGAAAATGAATCAATTACAATGATGTTGCATCATCAAATGCAAGGGAAATAGCAGATATGTCATTACATCGGGTAACAGTGTTAAAAAGTAATTGAGTGTCTTAAGCATTTTGAATCAATTCCAGGTACTGGCACAGATACCTTAATGCAAAATTTATGAAGATGATCTCAAAATAATGTGTTGCCATCAAAATTGTGTAATAAAAGCTGGCAACAATGCGTGTGTGATGAGCACACATCTCCCTCCCCTGGGAGCCGGTCCTGCTGCTCCCATGGGTGCTCAGCATGGGAAGGGCTCTGCAATACTGGGGTGTGCGTGGCCATTGCGTTCATTATTCCTTTGAGAAATAGGATTTTTAACCTTATACAGGAATTGGCTGTGATTGTATCTGTGTTGAGGTACTGTATATGGTCTCACCTCTGGTCCTTTTCATGACAAGATCTATTTTTCTTGTAAAGAAACGAGTGATGCTCTGTTTTGATGCACAGCTGCATCACCCGTTCATAAAGGGTTCAGAATGGCCCCTGTTGAATAAGCAGAGCCTGTTTTGTCATTTAGCATCTGAAAGTGAAGCATGAAGACTTTTATTTTCACAACACCTCTTGCTTATTAGCAATAATGCAAAATAGCCACTTTATTCTGTGGGTTATGACAGATTGACATAGACCGTTAAAGAATATAGTCGGTTATATCCATCTCTTTATTTTCTTTTCCATCCTGGAAAAAAAAATAGAATTATGTGCAGAAAGTTTATGTGTGCTTGTTTCCTTACTCCACATGGAAGAGCTTCACTGCATAACACAAGCTTTTCCTGCCTATAGAGCTCTGCTGGAGGGCTGGGTGCAGGGGAGGGGGCGTCCAGAGCCACTGCAGCTCTGCCACATTCATCACTGCAGACCAATACAATGCAGAGTGTGAGATGGAAGGGGCAAGCCAAGCAAACTCTGTTACGTTTTCACTAAAGGCTGCATTCTGTTTGCATTGTCATTGTGTTGGGATGCAACTTGGTGCCTGCTTAGGAAAAATGCGTAATTAATTATCCACACCCATTAGAAATGATACACGTGTGCCTGTTGTCAGAATGCCAGCGTGTGTAAATGGTTCACGTACCTGCTCTGTGCTTTGTGTTCAGTGGTAGTTCTGCCTTTGTTTCTTTTTGTAATCAAAACATCTTTTTGCTTTGGTAGAACGGGCCGGATTTGTTTGTAGTGCTCCGTAGGTGACCGAGTGCTCCATCCTACAAACTGTTAATGAATTTCCCAACCAGGCTGATGGTACAGAATGTGGAAAGGCTCAGAGACGACGGGCAGCAACTCTTTCCTTTGCCATTCAAAGCAACACGAAGTTGCTCAAACTTTCCACCTCCCAGATGGCAACGTTCTGCTTATGGTCAGAGTCAAACCTGGCTGGGATGTGCAGGAAACTTTGGGTAGAAGTGGAGTGTGAGGGGCTTTCCTGAGTAGCGGCAGAGACTTCAACCACATAATTAAAGTTTTCTATACAAAAAAAGGGATTGCGAGCCGGGCCTGGCAGTAATCCAGAATTCTAATTTCTGACTATGATTTAATTTCAATTTTAAATAAATCGGTTTTTAATTTAAAAAGAGTGAGCTTCATAACATTAGCGATGATTGCAACATTAAGCCCAGTGTTCACAATCTAGCAATATAAAACATTATTTATATCTGAATCGTAAACAGCCTTTTGAAATGGATTATGGTTTTTCTTCCTATTCTAATACAACCTGGAGGGTACTAAAAAGTGTTGTGTGAAATTAACATTCTGCTGACTTTCGCCTATAAATGAGAAGCGAGCTATTAACATTTGTGTATTTTCATTATGTAAATTGTGTTAACACATGCCCACAAATTGCCACCAGCGATGCAATAATTTTCTCTCAGTGATCATAATGTGTCCAAGTGAGTCATTTTGATTATGACATGCTAATTACATATTGCCTTTTTTCAGATTCAGAAAAACCAGGGATCTTTAATGGTAAGCTTTATGAGTTCAGAAAAAAATTCACTTTTCTTTTTCCTGATGGCTGCTTCCTCTGCATGCTTGAATGCCTTGTTTTAAACTTAGCAAATTGCATTTTGAAGAAAATGCAAACCTTTAACTGCCTGTATTAGATTAGGTACCATTAGAAATAATAGAACATCCTGAGCATCAATGTTTTTATAAGAGTTTGCTGCTGTTGATTAATCTTGCTATATTTTATTGCATTAATGATTTTTTCTTTCCACTCCACTGTAAAGATATTGCATATAGGCTAATACTTTTTCCCTCTCTCCTTTCCATTGCAGCCTCTCCAGTTATTGCAGTGCATTGTTGATGAGGTGAGTCGTCGTCTTATGTGCTTTCACTCCTAAAGTCATTCCTAATGGAGTGGAAAGCTTATATTTTGTTTCCTAATGAAGCACAATGCCCAACATCCTCAGAGCACGAGTTGCCTGGTACAGCTTGGAGCTGTCGAACGTGAACTGGCTTGGTCCCACTGTATGCTGTTTTGCTGCTCTAAATGTCGAGTCTTTGAAAAACTGAATGGTCTCAGAGGTTAATCCGTGTGGCTCTTTGGGCCCCAGCCTAGCTGTGTTAGCCGATCCAGTAAAAACATCCAGGTACTTTCCCAGGGCTGACTGCTGTGAGTTTGCTTTGTTTTTTTTAAGTTTCAATAAGGGGATGATGAGAATTAGGAAGCTTGAGCGAGGCAAAGGAGCCATAACTTTCTGGAGACTCACCTCAGCCTCTAGCAGAACGTCCATGCTGCCTCGTCAGGTCGTGGTTGCTGGGTGGTGGCATCCCATTGGACGTTCACTACATCTCTTTCAACATTTGTTCAGCTGGACACAGGACCATGAATTAAAATGAACACGTATCCTTCGTGTGAAGGAGGGGAAGGGAGTTCTCCTGGTCCTGGTGTGCCTCCAGCAGTGCCAACCCTTCTGCCTGGCTCCCAAGGCTCTCTGGTTCCTTGAGTGGTTCTCAGACAATTTGCTTCTTCCATCTTTTTCACCCATTGTTATTCCTGTTAAGTATGTCCTTGGAACTCCAAGCCACCAGTGCTGTGTCTACCAGTAACAAAAAGGCCATTTCCATCCTGGAGAGGTGAGCTGACATTCCTCGTATTTTCACATGTGTTTTGCTACTGGTAGATTAATTGCTTTTGAATGGGCTAGACAAATTACTTTTAAATAATAGTGCCCAAATCAGTGCCACCCCAGCCCTGTCCTGCATACAAAGACCTCAGAGCAAAATGTCTGTAACTTCTGACTACTGTTTTCCCTCCTCACTTTGTCTTTTTGCCCATTCTGGGGAATAACAGCAGGACCTGCCTGTTTGCCTCATGCATGCTCCTCCTTGTACACAAGGAGCTTTTTGAGAGACAGAGGCTCAGTACTCTCTGGAGCCCTACAGCTGTTGTTGCTACCACGAGTATTAAAGTGCTCAGTGTTGTAAGACTGATTGCTTGGGGCCAAATGTTCCCTTTGGTTGCAAGGAGGTCCTAAAACTCACAGGAGGCAGAGCAGAGCCCATCCCCAGAGGAACCCAAACCCTGGTGCAGAATTCCCCGCCTCACTTAATGACGACAGCGGTGAGCAGAGAGGGGCTGCAACCACAGCAGTGTGGTTCTGGATGATATGGAGAGAGCTTGGAAGTTCTTATCCTCTTATTCCTGGACCGAATTTCTCATTGCACAGCTGTTTTATCCTTTCGTATAGCTTGGAGCTGAGCAATGTATGTCCAGGAGGGATGACCACCGTGCCCCAGGCTGGCTCCAGGCTTATCTGGAGAGCTGGGAGGTGGCTGCAGTAACTGGGGCAGGCGTGGAAGGTTTGCAGCAGACAGGATGACTATCAGAGGCCTTTGAATAGACTCAGAGAACCTGGTGGAAATGCTGTTTTGGAATACACAGCAAGTCACTTTGGTAGTTTAAATAGTCTGTCTGTTCTTTTCCAGGGACTTAAATTTACTTTGCATAAATTCTGCAGAAAGAGCAAGGGATTTGGGAAGTGTTGTAAGCCATGCCTGACATGGTTTTTGTTGAGTTATGTTAGCAGGCTTTTAATGGCACTGGTTCTGGGCTGATTGCTCTAATGCCAGGATTAGCGAGAAGCAGTGTGTGAATAGGTTGCACGTCTGCCAGGACCTTTATTTTTTAACATGTGGTAACGTACGCTGAAATCTGATCCAGCTACAAATAAGACACGCTCATTTAAGCAACAGTCCCCATCACTGCAGCCTCTTCTGCTACCGTAAGGCTTCTGCTTCTGGCCCAGAGATGAGGATAGGCTCACTCTGATGCTGTTTGTCCTGCAGTACAGCCAGCAATAAAAGCAGTCTGCTGGTGTTTGAGCTCTGGGAATTCCTTAATTCAGCTTAGCTGAGTTGTTTTTGGCTTCTTTTTTTTAAAATATATTTTTGAAAAGCGTATTTTTTGAACAAGGTAGAAAAGGAACCTGATTTTGGTCCGTCAGTTTTGATTAAAACCCCGGAATTAAGTGGACATCCGAATCAATTGAATTAGAAGCTTCAGGAGTGAGGACTTTGAAGAGCGAGCCCTGTTTTTGCAAATAGGAGGCAGCACTGAAAAATCTGCATATTTTGGCGAGTCAGGCAGACTTTTAAAAGAAAAATTAATTAGTTGTACTCATGAATCCTTACTGTGACAGCTTCATGAGTGAATAGTGAGGAGCTTTCCATGAGTTTCTTGAACGTTTCTGTTAAGTGCCCCCACAGAGCTACTCGGTCTCACAAGACTGCAGTTTAATCTAGCTCAAGGACTTCACAAACTTTGCAAATCAAAGGCTTCTTTTTTTTTTTTTTCTGTTTAAATCCATCCTCTAGAAATGTTGAGCAGATCAGTTAATGCAAGCGTGGTGTTAATGCTGAGCTACGAAGCATGTCAATGTTAATAAATTTTCAATGGAAGAAATAACTTGGACTGAATACATGTATCCTATGTAGTCGTTTCTATTTTTTTTCCTCCTCTTTGTTAAATATATCCCTCTATTTATTGCTACAGCCTTAAAAATTCACAGTATGTTCAGCTTGATCAAATAGCGCAATGAAGTCCATTGCCTCCCGAGTGCAGAATTTTGTAACACATCAGTGCTACATTTGGCTGTTGTTATAAATGAAGTTGGAACCTTGAAAGGCTCAGGAAGAAACGAGGCTTTGTATTTTTTCTTTGGGAATTTTTGTCTTAGAATCTCGTCTATTGATTCAAATGGATGGACAGCTGTATTTAACCCTGAAAACGTTTTGGGTTTTTGAAGATTTCTGTGCAGGTGTGAGAAGACATGTGTGTGTTGTGTACACAGCCACGAGAATCTGCCCTGGTTTGGGGCATCCTTTGATTGAGGCAAAAACTGTGACCTTACTAGTGTTTGAGATTCAGGGGCTTATATAGGAGCAAGGTAAAACCACAGGTAGGAATTGCTGAATAATTACCTTTAGACCAACCTGAGCAAGAACCTTCCCAAGAGGGCAAGCTCATTTAATGGTTCCTAAAACTCAATCTTGTGGATGTCAATGGTCATGCTTGATTATTTGCAGCAGTGTTTTATGAAAAAGCAATAAAAATGCATTGGGAGTGTACAGAGGAAAAAGGGAACAATAAATGGTTTTAGTTTTTCAATTGGGTCCCTTCGGTGTGAGCAGGTAGAGGCTGCGTTTCATGCTGCTGTGCCTTAGCTATTTGAAATGTGCATATGTGTGTGTATCTACCCAAAACACTGCTGTGCTCTGCTGGCTTATGATCGACAAGAGACCAGCAAGGAGAAGAAAAAATTCTTATGTTTGTTTTAGAGAGAAAGCAATTACAGTTACGGTTAAAGGATTAACCTGTTTTCCAGCTACCTGTACACTGTCTGCACGGCCCTTTGGAGAGCCTCACTTACAAGTGCAGAGCTTGGCGAGGGGTAGGGAACATCGTGTTGGACACTCTAGATTATTCCTAATGTTAATTACACTCTTCAGCTTCTTTCTTTGGCCTCTAAAAAGCATCCCACAGCAGCAAATGCTGCCAAAGAGCTCCAGGTGCCTGCTGGCTTCCCACTGCAAGCACCTGTGTGTGTCCTGTATGATGTAGGTTATGTGGACGCCGTGTTGTCTATAGGTTGGGAGCAGGTAGTGCTGCCTGGGAGAACAGCGGGCTGTCCCACGGGTTGAGGTGTGGGAGGCAGGCGGAGGGGTTTGCTGGATAAAACACTGGCCTCTCGACCTTGGTTCCAGTCCAGCCCGAGATCTGGAAATAAATGAGTTCACTGCTGACACTTCAATCCCAGCAGACGGAACTTCACACCGAAATGCCCCCGCGTGTCATTTGTCACATTTGGCACCTGCTGCTAAGAAAAGAGCAAGAAGCGACCTGGCGCAGAGATGTAATCATCTTTCACCTTCCTGCCAGGGGTGGGAGCATAATGGGGACAATCCAGAAATTCTTTCAAGTTGGGGCCTCTGAGCCACCTCCAGACATCATTGCTTTTGCACACTCGTTACTTGTAAGGGCTCACCTGCCATTAGGCTTCTGCGGGGCTTTTGAAGTAGATTGGCTAAAAGTCAGCAATGGGATTTTGTTTAGGAGTGCTTTGAAGGGAAGTTGACCTTGAAGGAGTGCATCTGAACGTGTGTGATATTGTGATTTGCTGCTCTCGTTGGAGCAGCTCCGTAACTGCAGTGCATTTATTACACCTAATTGCAACTGGCAGCATTTCAGGTGCAGCTAAAACTTAAGTTTGTCTGAAAAAAAGTCACTATTTGGCCAGAAAGTAAACAGCAGCTATAGGTGTATTTGGAAGAGACTAGAGTGCACAGATATTCTGCAGTCCCAGAGATTGGTGTAGCTGAAGTGATGAGGCTGAAGATGCTTCGTAAAGCACCCACATTATTTATTAAATACTGCCATTTCAGCATCAGCGGGCGAGTTGCAGAATAGGAGTATCTGCCCAGAGGAGATGATAATTTCAGAGGCAGGGTGTGCTGGGAAGCCCAGAGGACAGAGTAACTGAAGTTTGGTTTGCTCGGCTCTGCTAACTTCCCTCTTGTGGCCATCGAGCCATAGGACCATGGCATTTCCTTCTGCACAAGCCTGCACGCTGCCGAGAGAGTGCTGCAAAATAGCAGCTCTGGAGCTGTGGGAAACAGAAATTTTAACCCTTCAGAGAGAGGTGCTGAGCAGATGAGAAGGTAAACCCTACGTGTGCTGAGCGCATCAACTGCTGCCCAAGAGGTGCAGCTCAGCTCTGCCTGGGGACATCTGGGGACATCTGGGATGGCAAGGAGCCCTAACACATAACTGAGGGCTTTGCCATCATCTTTCAAGTAGAATTCTGTGTTCGCTGATGTTCCTGTCACAGGGAGATGGGGGGCTTCTTCTTCCTTCAGAAAGGACAATGTGATGAAGCTTTCAGTTGTTTTGAGAAAATGCCACTCAAGAAACGTTCTGTTTGGGTGAGATGTGTACAGCACAGCCTGGTTCTAGTGTACTTTGTTAGTCAAAGATGAATTCCAAGTTCCATTGACATAGGAGAGTTTCCAAGGCCAGTCAGCTGCTGTGTCTGTTGAATTTGCTTCTTGGGTTTGTCCAGACAAACTTCCAGGGAGGACAGAAAGGAGGGGAGGGAGCCTCATTTGTGTTTCTTCCCATCATTTGTGAGTTTGTAGGACAGTATTTATTCTGTAAGCCTCAGCAAAATCTTTGCTGCTGCTGCTCTGGCAGCAAAAGAGATCAAGAGATGTTTCAGATAAGAGATCTGAGAAGTAGGTGAGGATGCAGGAGGTAATGCCATCATTGCCTTCAGATGTCCTCTCTTTACAGGGACTGTGCTCTGCTTCTTTCCATGCCTTTGCCTAGATAGCACGGCCTCCCCCTGCCATGGAAGTCAGTAAGGTCTATACCAGAGCACTGGCATTCTAAGAATTAAATATTAGGAGCCGTGTTTGAAGTTCAAAGCCCTCCCTCCTCCTGCTAGCTCTGATTTTCTGCTGCTGTGCTGTTTTCTTTATGCCTGAGCACCTTGCTGACAAGTGCTAATAATAAAATGCCAAGAGAGGGTCCAGTCGGAGTTACCATACATTAAACATTCTGAACTTGTCCTTTTGCTCATAGATTGTGCATAATTAATAATTAAACGGTTTCAGTTGTAATGGGTTGACCTCCTTGAACTGTTCATTATTCACAAGGCAAAGGCATCACTCAAACTTTTCCTATTGCCCTCCATATGTGCACAGCACGGCTGGTTCTTATCACAGAGCAATTGCAGGGGCTTCTCCTGCAGCGGGTCCCATTGCAGAGATGTTTTTGCCTTGGGATCAAGCTGCTGGGGGATGTAGGAGCAGTGGGCACGTTGTTCAGTCTGCAGGTGGGTAAAATGAGGCAGAGCATCAGAATACAGCCAGACCATTGTTCCATCCAGTGTGACCATATTGTGTCACACAGACGTGGCAGAGGCTGTGGTTTTGTTTTTATTTCCTCTTTCCCATCCCTTTCAGAGTCAGTCAGTCACAGGCTGGAGAACTTCGGGGTACCTATAGGCTGTGCTGCTTCTGTGTGGTTTGGGATGTTTTTGCTCTGTACTTGGTGCATTGTGATTGCTCACATCCCACAGGCAGCAATAGGAACGCTTTCATTGAGATAACTCTAAGTACAAAATACTCTCAATTTTCTGCTACTCAAGTGTTCTTCAGTGGAACCATGGCAGAAATGGAAGTGTGTCCATTGCTGGTTGCCGTGGCTGGCTATCAATTGAAGGGGTGATTTCTGCTACTGAGGTCATTTAAAAATGAAACACTGGAGGCAGCTCTCCAGCATCTGCCTTTGGAAGCAGCTGAGGTCCATCCATGCTTTCCTGGTTCAGCTGAAACCGAAGCTTCCTTCTCCCATCTTACCCGTGCTGTAAAGTAAGGATTGGCTCTTATTGATACGAGTGAAATTACTTATTTCTACCGATCTGTTTGCCTTCAGACATGCTTCCTAGTGAGCGTTTTTTGAGATTGATGTACTGTCCCCAAAGAGTAGCAATTTGTCCTGCAAATGACTGACAAATACACAGGACATCCAGCCTAAAATCCCTGGGCAGACTGCATTAAAGCATCTCCTTTTCCTGCTGGGATCCAGTCAGTGTTTATCCCACCCCTCACAGCCTGCGCTTGAAAGAAGAGTGGCTTCAGAGCTCTCTATCAGCCTCTCATCGTGAAACTTCCATTGCTGGTCCACCAGCCCGTGGTGGGAAATCTCCTACTCAATGTCTGTGCAGTGCACTCTGCCCACATTGGTGCCCCAGCACGTGCTGCTTTGCTCTCATTGCACTTACAGCATGGGACAGTTGGCTGGGTACACCCAGACCCCACTGGTGGGCTCCGGTACTTTGCCTTCCCATTTTCACAACGACCCTTTGCACACACACAGCTCCTTTCCTGCTCTTGTGCTCTGACCCCATCCCACCTGGGAAGGAGGTGTTGGCCTTTGGCTGCGTGCTGGACAGGAGCAAACGATGGGAGAGCTCAACCTGCTGGGCTGTGGCACTTGGTGCTCCAACACTTGGCTCTGTGTTTTCGGTATTAATAAGACTAATTTTCATGTGCAGCTCTTTGAAGTGCAGGAAGTTTAATTGCACTGTTTGTTTCCCTGCGTTCCTTCCGCTCTGCGGTGCAAACCTGCCTATATTGCTGCCATTTATAAGTTGGGAAACAATAACCTCTCCCTCGCCCGGCCTAAGTTCAAAGGGAATTTGGGCACGTTCTATCAAACGCTGCTCATGGTTAATAGAACTCTTTGAAAATTGTCAAGCAATTTTGCCTTCTCCTTTTACTCTTCAGTTACTTTTGATTTAATTGTATTTTCCAGCAGTTTCCGATTGTTTGAATTGGAAACAAAGCCTTAATAAGAGTTCTAGTTAATTTTCTGTCTTGTAATTACCGATCTCATTTTTCTGATAATTGGCCACAGCAATTATATGTATATTTACTAATCACATAGGAGGCTCTGCAGTTGTGTCTATCTGCCACCATTGATAATGGCACACACATTGCAGAGGTGCTTTTATCATCTTCTTTTTTCCACTACATCAAAGCTATTTCCTCGCATTCTCAATAATGAATACATGCATGCATTTGACACAGTTGTGTGCTAGAGAAATTGTTTGGCTCCCACCAAATGCTGCACGCTCTGAGTTTCTTGCCTGCAGCGCTGGAAGGTTGTATGTAATGATATATTGCTCATCCAAATGGCCAAAGCACTCCAAAGCACAGTGAGATTAAAATAAGTCATTCCTTTGTTAATTTAAATAGGTGCATGTATCATACTTTGCGGGGTACTTTGTGTAGGGATGTCAGGGAGGAAAAAAGCCGCCGAAAGGTATTTTTAATAGCAAATGAGAATAGATGAGAATGGAGTCATTTGCAGCTGCCTGTTTTATGTGGCTCTCTTGTTCCAACTGTAGGTCTAATGAGATGACACTGTTAAAGTACTCTGCAGTGTAATTTCATTACATCCTGAGCTGTTACACTATAAACACAGTGGAGCTCTCTGTCATTCTTGGAAAAACTCCTAAATTCGTAAAGCCTGTCTTTGTAAATGGGGATGTTGTTTGTTCCCCGTTTGGGTGGAGATTTTTTTCCTTCTGCTCTTCGTTTTATTTTCTCTCTTTTCAATTTTTTTCCCTTTCCCCCGAATGCCGGGTGCTTGTTTTCACCAGCCTGGTAAATTTTGCCTGTTTTCCCCCTAAAAATGATTTTATTTAAAAAATATTTTAAAATCTGGAACAGCCTTCCTGCTAGGACGGCCTCTAAAATGAATAAGTGTAAATAAACATGAGTGTAAATAAATAGCGAAAGCAGTGAAAGAAACAAAGGTCAACACAAGAATAATTTCACAGCTCTTTGTTAATTACAAGACCATTTGTGTGTTACTTAAATAATCATTAATTTCTCATTTACACTTTCCCTACCTTCCTTTTTACCCTGTGGCTATCATTGTCCTTTTTTCACCTCCCCTCAGTGTCTTTCCACATGTTTTTACCCATTGTGTAATACTCATTAGTCGAAATCCAGTGTTTTTATAACACGTTCTCAGAAGATTTTGTACCTTTCTCTCTCCAATTCTCTGCGTGAAAAGGGAGCTTTGTCACTTCCTTCCCCCCCACCCCCTCCTCCCCTTTTTGTCATCGCTGTTATATTGCTCTCCTTCTAAAAAATGCTCTTCTGACGCTGCTCCTTGTTCCAATCCAACCCAGGAGTCGCCCGTCCTTCCAGCCGGGGAGTTCTCGGAGCCATTTGTACACTTCATCACTCAATGGTAAGCTCCGTTTGCAAACATGCCATGCCCTCGATGTAAATGATACATGCCATTAACTCCGCGGCTTGGCGAGACCTTATGGCTTTCCTTGCATCCGCTCCGAGAGGAGAGGGACTTGGGGGCCTTGGGCAGATGGGGCAGCAAAGCTAAGCAAACTGTTTAAATTATGTAAACGTTATTTACACAAAGGGTCGTAAAAGTACTTACGTGGATTTTCCCTGTTTTCATAAACCCGCCCTGATGTGGGTGCAGAGCTGGCGATGGGACCGAAAGGATTCATCTGGGGGAAAGGGGCCGCGGAGTCCCGGATGTGTCATACCATAATTTAAGGCTTTTTGCAGTATTACTGATAAAATCACCGCGGTGTTTGGAGAGGCAGGCAGCCCTGATTAATTCCTTGGCTTCCCAGTAAGTAATTTTTACTGAGAGTCGTACTTTAAAACGCACCGTTGGGTGTATTTTCTTTCCTTCAAACCGGATTGTTCGTTGAAAGCCCTGGAAATGAGAGGAGAATGGGCAAGGAGGAATTTGTGGAATAAAGAATGCACCTCTCTGGTGGGTGACAGCAGGGTCTAAATGACCCTCTGGTCATTTAGTAGTGACTGGTGGCAGGAGGGTAAGAATCTTAAGGGTCAGCTCTCCCACAGAAACAAAGCAAAGGGAAAATATAATTTTTTTCTATATGGCAGAATGAACAAGCTCAAATTCTGCACAGGCACGATGTGTGGGGTGGAGGAACATCCCTCACACTGAGCATGCCCTTATGGGGTGCTCACCTAGATGTGGGCATGGCAGGGTGCTGCCGAGGGCTGCACAGATGGGGGGACTCCTTTTGGGGTTCTCTCCATTGGAGCAGGCAGGCAGAGCCCTCAACTCCACGCACTCCTGCCCATCAGGTTCGTGGCACATTCAGATTGCCTGCTGCCCCAGGGATTCGTGTATTTGTACGTAGTGCAGGGCTGAGATGGGATGCCACAAACATTGCAGAAACCAAAAGCAGTCTGATTATCGGTTAATTAAAGTTCCTAAATAATTAAAGGTTGGATAACGTAGGCTTCCTTTTTCCAATAGTCTCAGCTTACAGGCAGAGCTCCGTGCGGAGGGCTCTGCAGCACTGCCGCTGTGCGAGGGGCTGTGCATTTTTAATTCCTTCCGAGGGTAATGACGGACTGCTTGGAAAAAAAAACAACCAGCCCTCATTCAGGCAGGGGGAGGGATAACCCGTGTTCAAATTTCCACAGATGTCAAAGTGAAGCATAACTGATGGTGGCTAATAGCCTGGTTTTCCCCCGGGATGCGGCTACTTTGGGCTGTCAGATTAGAGCTGCTCCCAACCTGCGTCGGCGCCCGCTGTTACCTGCATTGTTCCAGTTATTTGTGGGGAATCTTTGGTTATTTCCTTATCTGTCGGGAGGGTAAATCATATCTGAACTCCTCCTAATTGCAACACAGTTCGCCCAGGATTGCTGAGATAGTGTTCCATTGGCTGTACAGCAGGCAGCTCTTTTCAGAAGGGGGCATTGCTGTTTAAAAATGCACTATGCGAGAAAGAAATTACACTGTGGACTATTTAAGCAATCAATTTCTAATAAGTATTAGAAATGTCAAGTGAGCAGCACACAGGACTTGATGCCAGTTCCGCCATAAACACTGCTGCTTGGATGTAATCCAATTAGTCAGTAGGCAGCTCCTGATGGTCACCTCTGTGCCATGTTATTGTGTTCCTTCATGCAGCTAAGCACAGTTTTCAATAGCTAATTGCACCTGTTGCACAGAAAACTAGGACTATTTGGATGAGAAACATGATCTTATAAACAGCTTAATGCTGTGTAATGAACTATCACCCTGCAGTGTAATGGAAATGAATGGGAAAAAATTAAGGTAGAAACCCCGGGGTATTGTGTGTTCTCCTGAAGCTGTTCAGTGTTGGAGTTAAATTTCCCACCTGTTTGGATAATATGCTGTGCCGAGCTATGTAATAATCCCCAGCAAAACGAGAATCATCTTCCTATGCCTTCTGAGCCGATTGGTTTGCAGTGATCTTCATATTCACACATGCTCATGGCTACAAGCAGTGCAGGCCATGAAATAGAAGGGAAGCTGTTGTCACTGCATCTCTTGCCCGGGTAAGTAGGCACTCGGAGGAGGATATCAGGAGGTATGACACATTTCAGAACTGGTGAAAGGAGCCTATTTGTGTGGGGGACTTCAAAGACACGCAGAGAAAAGTTAAAAGTTGGGCAGCTGTCAACAGAACACTGAGAATGGAGAAACACTGACCACAAGGGATGGGTGGAGGGGATGAGGTTGGCTCACGTCTTGGCCACCGTTGGGAACCGTGGCTTCTGTCAGCCTGTGATCAAGTTCAGAAATAGCTGGAGATTCTGGGCACGGTCTGTCTGTGTTAAAAGAGGATGTCTTCAGTACTTAAGCAAATGAAATAAATAAACGTTTGTTTATATGTGAATGTTTTCTTTTGTGATATGTAGTATGAAAAAGCAACCTAAGGAAAGACCAGCACCTGAAGATTTAATGGTAAGTGAAACTTCAGAGCCTCCAGTATGATTTTTCTCTGAATGTTTTTTATTAATATATACGGAAGTAGAGTTTGGAGGTTTTCTTGTTGGGTTATTGCTGCTTTTTTTTTTAATTATTGTCATTAATTTTGTGGGGCTTGGGTTTTTTGGTTTTTTTTTGCATTTTTCAGCGTGTACAAATATAAACTATTTTGGGCTCGTGAAGCAATTGCAGAGTTACATAGAGCACACAAAAGGTGGGATTCTGATCCCAGTGCAGTTAATGGACATTCTGCTGTTCCCTTGGTTGTGACCAAAGCTGCACTTGTGATTTGGGCAGGCAATACAGAACTCTCACAGGCAGCATCAATTTCCAGTCAGAACCATTTTGATGCTCAATTCACCATTTTTTCAGTTTGTATATCTGGGGATTACAGCTTGATGTAGGTCATGCCTTGTCATCATTTGCCAGCCTTAACCTTTCAAAATCTGAAGATTGAAAACTGGACATTTGGTCAAAGCAGTGCATTTTTCACGGCGTGCAGGAGCTCCTGTTTTCACTTCTATTCACGTAAAATGGGATTGGATTGGCTACAGCAGGTTGAGTTAATATGTAGCTTTGGTCTTCTCATAGAAGGGCTGTCAGCATTGGAATCTGAGCTCAGAGACCTCTTCCTTTTCTTATGCCTGTCAGTGTTTCAGGAAGGTGAGGACAGGTTGCCTGCTCCCAGGATGGTTTGCCATGGCTGTGTGTTTGGTGCACGGTGCTGTTGTTGAGCTGCTAGAAAAACACAGAATATTTGCAGTAATTTCTGCTGGAGGTAGGAGTTGCAGCCTGCTCTGACTCACGTCAAATAGCTTTGATTTTTAAGGGTTTTGTTACTTTCTTTATGTGCTGCATTTCCTGTCTCTTGGAGATTGGCATAAAGTCATCAGCATTTATTTTCTCTGCATTGAGTGTGTAGAGATAATTTCAGCAGACTTCAGCGAGATACAGAATGTGTTTGCATCATTTCCTTTCTTGTTTACATTCTACAAACTACAAGGAAAGAAAAAAACCCAGTGTTTCTATTGCAGCCATTCCCTAGTTAAAGGCCAGTCTCCAGAGATGCCCTGGGGCAGGTGGTGCACGATCCAGACTAGTCTCAATTTAGACCCTGGTTAGTAAAGTGTTTAACTCTGGATCTCATTTTAAGGACATTAACTTCAATAGGTTTACCTTTGGAGTTAGGCACCCACTGCAACAGCTCAGCAGAATGAGGCCCTGAAGTTTCTCAGAGCCCCTCCACATGGTGGTGATGTGCTTCTCGCATGGAAGGCTTCCGCTGCCTTATTTTGTCTTTTTTTATTAACTTTTGATGGTTGGGAAATTCTTGCAGTTAGTCACATCTGAGAAAACTTGGAACAGGTTCTAGAAATGTAGACACATTTACCTTGTGCACTATTATGCTATGGCTGGATAGCTTAGCTATTAAAACAACGGAATAGGGTTTCATAAAACCTATATCTCTTTGTAAATGTATGTTTCAGTGATGCAATAGGCCTGCCACTTATAAATAAAACATCTGCAGATCTCACATACCCCCATAAGTATATATGTATGTTTGTAAGCAATAACACCACTCCAGGGTGTAGAGTCATAAAAATGAGGCCAAAGGGTGAGTGCCTGCAGTACCAGGGAAGTGCACAGATTTATCTTTACAACTACATGCCCTCGAGTGTGCTGGGCCCCTTTTAAGGAGGTGTTTTGTAAAATAATTTTAAAATTATAGCTGCTCAGAAAAAAAAAAAAAAAAAAAAGCAAAAAAAAAAAAGCCTTCCCACTTGTTAAACAAAATCTTTTGTTTAACACATTTTTTCCCTTATGATACTTCCTAGTCAATTATAAATGAACGTGCAGCAGCAAATACTAAAGCTCAAAGCAGGCTGCTGCTGGAAGGAAGGAGTGACCCCGTCATTGCCTGCAGTGTGGCTGAGCCCCAGCAGCTGCTCTCAATTCCCTCCTGCAGTGGGATGGGCTCCCAGGGCACGGCCTGCTCCTGCAGCATGTTTGCTGGGAGCTCAGTGCTTGCTCTCCAGACAAATTCTTTGCGTTCCTGCACTTAGCCAGCCTTGTCAAGGAGCACTTTATTTGTCATATCCATATGTAAATATACGTATGTATTTCTCTATCTATCTATCTATAGAATCATAGAATCATTGAGGCTGGAAAAGACCTCTAAGATCATGTAACCTAACCATTGGCCCATCCCCACCAACACAAGCATGCTGAACATGCGTATTCACATGTTTATATACATTTCTGTGCTTAGTTGGAAAACAAGGCCAAACCAAAGCTGTTAAATATCCTCTGAATTCTTAAATTACTGACCAAAACAGCATGTCTAGTTTCCCCTCCTCTGTTTCCTAAACTTCCCTTGTAATTCTGATGGATATCTCGGTGTTAACAAGCAGTGGGTAGAGTGATACAGATACTATCAGCGAAATCCTGGAGCTCTCAAGGTCAGCTTACCATTGATTTCTGTGAAAGCAGGATTTCACGTTCTTCATTGTTTTGATTTAAAGGAAATGTACTGGCAAGGATGAAAGGTGTAACACATTATCATCGTTAGCTTCAGACAAAACAGCAGAGTGCAGGTTTTGTCCCCTATGGACATTAACCGTACTGGAAGTCACTATTTTGTAACCAATTTAGTATAATTAAAGACTGGAAGCAAAATGAAGGGAGCAGAACATCAATCTTGTTCTGCTCTCCTGATAATCAGTGGATTGTTAAAGGCATTTTAGGAGCTGGCTCACAATACCTGGAGTGCCACATTGGCGACTCCAGCAACGTCGTAGGGCTGCAGCAGGGATGCTTTTACCCTGCCTGTTGTGTTAGGAAGGGCACTGTGCACATCTTCTTAGAAAACAGGGCCAGAGCCAAGGCTGTATGAAATTCCTGTATAAAGTCAGGCTTCCTGGTACCATGGGTATTCCTGTGGAAGCGAACACCTGATTTCCACAACAGCTGACAGAAATCAACTTTCTGTATCTACACTTACTCTCTCTTATACCCATACACACAAAAAATGGTTTCTCTGTATGCATGATCAGCAATTTGTCTCACAGTATTTCCCGTTAGCAGACTTCTTCCACGGGAGTACAAGTGAGTGATTTCACCCAGCAGTTGGCAAGTGGTCCGTTCCAGAGCGGGAGAGATCTTTGTAATTCACCGGTGGTTTTTCTGAGCCTTGTTCTTACTGCGTCTGCTCTTCTGTCTCCAATTTCTTCTTAAGAGGAAGGCACAGAGTCAATGGAACTTGCTTGTGTTGCAGCGCTGTGGAAGTCTGAGCAGCATCATAGCGTATTCCTGCCCTTCTTCTCTTGCTTTCCACCAAGAAAAGGAAGATCTCAGCAATTCTTTTCCATAAAGATTATTTTTTCCGTGAACTTGCTGTTTCCATGTGCACCACAGAGCTGTGTGGCACTGCAGGCCAGGCTCCCAGGGGTTCGTGGCACACGGGAACAGGGTGCCTGCACTGAGGGCAGGTGATGGGGCAGCACAGGGAAGGTTCCCTGTCCTTGTGCCGAGCGTATGGGTGGGCATCCACATGCTGGTGCAGCTCAGGAAGCCGTAGATCTGACTGCATTTACGGTATTTTTCAGAAGCTTTCCATTCTAAGCTCTATTTAATGGAATCTATGCATAGTAAGTAATCAGGTCAGAGAAGCAACATCCCCTGTTTGAGATCAATCGCTGGCTAATACTTTATCTAGGCCACTTTATTATCTCATGCTGATTCCATTCCCATTCTCCTCCTCCTTTGTAGCATGCACTTCAGCTGTGGTAAAAGTACGTATCGCATACATATTAAAAACATATACCCATTCTATCTGTATGTAAATGTGTGAGACACAGCTGGATATTGCAGGAGTTTGATTTACTAATAGTTATTATCTGTTCTTGCTGTTCAGAGGCAAAGAGAGTTTCAGAAAACAAGCTAGCGCAGAAATTGCCTTTATGATATCACTATCTGCTTTGGTAATTGTTTAAAATCTCTCCTTTAGCTGGAAACTTGGCCTTTTATTTTGCAGATTGTATGTGCTTCTCAGAAAGCCAGCAGATTTGTTGACGCCTCTTGGTTTTTGTTAGTACAGCATTGAACTCTACCATGCTGCATCTGGCTGCATAAACGAAGGCGATTTGCTTAAAGAAATTGTATTTGAAATACCAGAAGTCAAGCACTAGAAGTCATTCCTTTATGCTTTCACGTGAATGCATAAAAGTACAGGCGTTAAGATGCTGTTTGGGTTTCTGAAGGGAGTATTGGATGGGGAGAAGCTGTGCTTTTGGCCAAGGATCCGGCCAGCATCTGCCCTGGATTCCTTACACTCCAATCTTCTCATATTTGTTTAGGTCTCCAAATCTGAATCACAGCTTCTAGCTTTTCTCCTTTTTAAAATTTAGATTATCAACACTTCTTATGTTGGTGTTTTATCAATTCAGAATTGAGTGATGGGTTGTACCTCCTCTGTGCCAGAAAAGCTATTGTGTTGAAAACTGGATGGTTGGCTGGGTGGCTGGTTGGTTGGCTGGGTGGTTGGTTGGTTGGGTGGTTGGTTGGCTGGGTGATTGGTTGGTTGGGTGGTTGGCTGGTTGGTTGGCTGGCTGGTTGGTTGGTTGGCTGCTGCCTGGTGCAGTGCTGAAGTTCCCTGTCCCTGTGCCTTCAGCAACGCTTGTTTACACTTCAGGGTGCCATTTAGGTCTTAGAGGCTACAGTAGGCTTTTTTCAGATAGATATTTGTTTTTATATTTAAGCGTGTGGGTTTTTTTCTTAAACTTAGAATATGTAGATTTTCAAAAATGGGTTCTGTCTGGGCGTTCCCTTATCCATAACAAATGTAGGAAAATGGAGATGAGCAGCAATATTTTATGTGGTGATATTCACTAGGGTCTGGCCAGTAGCATTTCTTACCAGGTAGAGCTAAACTTGCGTGCGGCTTGTTGTGTTAGCCCATTCTTAGCAGCTGGTAGGAA